CTATGAAAAAAGGAACAGGCAAGGCTTGAATTAAGGTGGGAAAAAAGGGTGGCTTCATCAAGTTTGTTTAAATATATGGAGAAAAATCAAGGGGGTAATGTCGGCTTATATAAATTTTTTGGGGGGTAGAAGGTAAAAAAGTTCCCTGACCCCTGCTCTATTCAGAAAACCCTGAAAAGGATTGTTATAAGTCAAAATTGATTGGACAGCACCCTGGGGACATTAATTGAATGTAAACTGCCTGCCAACCCCCATGACTATATCTTATGTTAGCTTGGAAATGTTCACTTTTTTGGACTACAGTTACCAGAATCCCCAACAGTTCATGTTACCAGCAACCATGCTAAAGCGACAGATAATAGCTGGGCTTTTTTTTTAAAGAAACGGAGTGTTGGAATACCAAGTTTCATTTGGCATTAGCTCATATGAACTGCTGCCTCCTCCTTCAGATCTAAGGGCAGGAAGGCATGGGCTACAGTCCACAAACACACGTGCCCAATCAAACATGCTCACCTTCAAAGTATTACAAAACTACCTGCTGTTTTTAGAGCACAGAGTCTGGTGCCAAAGAAGAATGAGATTGACAGCTGACCCCCACTGCTCCCCATAAAGCCGCAGATCTCTCTTGGACAGTTGAGGTATTTTCCCTTGCTATCACTTTGCCAGCCATTGGGCATAGCTGTACGGCAAAGTATCAAAGTCACTGTTCATGAATGATGCATATTTTTCTTCTAAGCTTAATTTATTAAACCATTTGAATTAGGAGTGTGCATGTGAATGCAGATGGATTGCTGTTGGCATGGGTCTTGAGTGAACTGGGTGCAACAATCTCTTTCCTTTTTTCCTCTTTTTTTTTTTTTTGCTATAGCAGGTACAAAACAGTATTACGCCTCCTGGTGTCTGCATTCTAAGGTGTCCAGGAAACCAACGTTCTTCCTCCTACCAGTCTCTGAAATCCAATGAATCACCTCACTGCTGTCTTCCCTCCTCCTCCTCACCATTCTCCTCTATTTGTTGGTATGGGGGTGGCCTTTGCATGAAACTGCCTCTACCTCTCATCCTCCTCAATCCACCAGGTTGTTTGCCTTCTTCTCTCCACTGGTTACATCAGACCCCTACTGTGTGTCTCTCTCATGCTTTAGGAAGCCAGAGAAACACTCCTTTTTTATATAAACTAAGGTAAAGGTTCCTCTTGACGTTTAGTCCAGTCATGTCCGACTCTAGGGGACAGTGCTCATCCCCGTTTCCAAGCCATAGAGCCAGCGTTTGTCCGTAGACAGTTTCCGTGATCACGTGGCCAGCGCAAATAGACCTTCCCACCGTGGTGGTACGTATTTATTAGGAAGCCAGAGAAACACTCCTTTTTTATATAAACTAAGGTAAAGGTTCCTCTTGACGTTTAGTCCAGTCATGTCCGACTCTAGGGGACAGTGCTCATCCCCGTTTCCAAGCCATAGAGCCAGCGTTTGTCCGTAGACAGTTTCCGTGATCACGTGGCCAGCGCAAATAGACCTTCCCACCGTGGTGGTACGTATTTATCTGCTCGTATATAGACCTTCCCACCATGGTGGTACGTATTTATCTGCTCGTATTTGCATGCTTTTGAACTGCTAGGTTGGCAGGAGCTGGGACAAGCGACGGGAGCTCACTCTGTCGCATGGATTCGATCTTACGACTGCTGGTCTTCTGACCTTGCAGCACAGAGGCTTCTGTGGTTGAACCCACAGCGCCACCACGTCCCCTCTATGTAACTTACAGAAATATAAGCCAACATTCTATTTCTTAGTGCCACCGCGTCCCCTCTATGTAACCTACAGAAATATAAGCCAACATTCTATTTCTGTCTGGCTCGGCCGGGTACAAGAGGATGGGATTCTGAAGATGCATTAGAAAAGCATGATTATAACAGAAAAAGGGCAATATAGTTTTTATTTTTCATTTATTTTATTTATAAGCCACTTTCCTCTCCATAAGAGAACCCAATTTTTGTTTTGTTACTTAGAGTTACGGGGGGGGGGAGCTTTCCTCTTTTTAGTAAACAATTTTGAGACCTATCTTGCTGCACTCAAAAAAAATTACTTTAATCAAGCTGTTCAAATTCAGGCAACTGCATTTTCAGCAACTGTCAGTAGCCTTGTTTTATTAAACTTGACATTAATCCTATTATTTTAAATCTCCCACACTGTACTAATTAGTGTGAATGTGTTTCCTGACGAAGCTCTTGAACATGTATTTTCATGGTTAAATGTCCTTTGTTAAAACTTTTTGTTAAGTTTGTTAGAAAACTTCCAAAGGCAAGAGAAAAATTATGCTTAATTTAGCTTCTACTGAGCTGTTCCAAGTCAGTGCGGTGCCAAAAGAGTTTCAGGCTTAAAATGAAGCGCTTCTTCAGAACATTTTGAATTTGAGAGGATCCCCCTACAGCTGGCCCCTTGCTTTGAATTTAACAGAACAAGTTGCTTTCCTTTTCCTGTAGAGTTACAAAGATTATGGCACTCATATCTGTCTCTTAATAAGGTAGATTTGTTTGCATATTAACAATTTCATTGACACTGAAGAACACTTTTACAGTAAGCACTTTCTGTGCCTGTTGTAACATCTTAAATCATGTGATATTTTTGCACCTCCTGGAAACAAACAATGCAAATGTAGGGACTTCTCTTTCTTTCAGTCAATCCATGTTGGAGATTTCATTTGCAATCTTAAAAGAAGCCACAGGAAACCTGCCACAGAAACAACATTTTTCAGGAAAAGCCACAACACTGCCATAACATTTTGTATGGCCCCTAATATAGTCCAAGAAGAGGAGAAAATAGGGGACTGGCTGAGAGATGGCAACCTTCTATATATTGCAGTGAAAAGAGGGCATATGAATGCTTTGTTAAAGAGCATATGTTAGTCTCGAAATACTATGGTAGTGTGCTCTGGACTTATGTTGACACTAAATTATCATATTCGGTTGGAATTAAATCTTAATTTCATTAGTGTAGAGTTGTGGTTCCCAACCTTGCGTAATCTAGGTGTTCTTGGACTTAAATTCCCAGAAGCCTTTACATCCAGCTGTGCTGGCCAGGGTTTCTGGGAGATGCAGTCTAAGAACACCTGGGTTATCTAAGATAAGGGACCACTGAGTAGAGAACTGTGTCAGCTCTTCCAATAGCTAAATTTGCTGTGGTAAAAACTATTCATGGCTTAGCAATATGCAGAGAAAACTAAAATCAAACTGAAGATGGGAATAGGGGGAAAAGGGTAAGCCAGTCATAGCCCTTACCTCTCAGAGCATCTCCCCCTAAGATGGTTTACCTGGGTAATCCAGTCTATCCAGGCTTCATGGTTGCGAGTGATTACCCGTAAAAATGTTTAGAAAACTGCCACCAAAAACTGGTTTCTCTTGGTGGTGGCCTCAATGCTATGGAACATGTTGCTAGTTGATATACACTAGGAACTTTCCTTTAGACCTTCAGGAAACATGTGAAAGCTGAGCTTTTGAACAAGGCTTTTACTAACATCTTTTCCATTTGATACTCTCACAGATTCAAGTGCTTGAGTTTGTTTGCCGTTGCCTCCGGAGTTTCTTTTGCTACTTTGCATTACTTGTGTGTTTGTGGTGGTGGTCGTGTTTTTATTTTTATTATTGTTAGCCAGAGTAGTGCTCTGTTACTAGATAGGCAGGATAGAAATGAAATGAAGGAATGAATAAAGCAGGCCCAGGCTAATATATCATTATTGTTTTTGGATGTGTTTGAATGGGATGACACACAATTAATATATTGAAACATGGTGCAATTATCTGAGAACTGTTGTGCTCCAGACAGCAATTTTTTAATCTTACCTTTCTCTTTTATTATGGCAACAATTATAATAAATGATCCCAGCTCAGAGACTAGTATTTATATTATAATGTCAAGTGATGAGAAGAGTGAACTGCTGGATAGCTCAGTGGTTTACATATCTGGCTGCAGAGCCAGAAGTTAGGAGTTCAATTCTCCACTGTGCCTCCTTGACAGGGGCTGGACTTGATGATCGAGTTCTAAGATGATGTTGGTTATAACTGCTAAGGATACACTCTTAATTGTAAAAAAGATTGTGGACTCTTTACTTACCTGAATAATTATTCATTAAAAAAAATCTCAATACAAACCAGAATGCAACTTGAATGCTAGTTTACATGGAAAACAAATCAATGATTAATAATATTCAATATCCCTTTCAGGATTAAGTCTTTCTTATACCAGTACTGGAGGTACCATTACGGGATAGTGGAGAACCAAAGAATATAGCATAGGCATGTTTATTCAATTTTCCATAACCTTCCAAATAGAAGTACTAAATATTTTTTCTCATGCTCAATACAGTCACCATCCCAATTCTTAAGAGAATTTATAAAAATATTTTTTAATCCAATAATCCTGATAAAGGTAAAAATAAGTGTTTCATAGTAAATGATGAACAGATCACTGGCTAGGAGTAGGGCTGTGAGGCTTCAATCCAGAAATGCTCCCTGTACCTTTAAATTTGCAACTCAACTAGGAGAAGAGACTGTCGCATCTTTGTTTTTTTCACCTCTCCACTCTACTCATGTCTGTCACAAGTAGATTCCAGCTATGGCACTGGACAGGTGATTGAAATGGTAAGGAGCAAAAACATCACAGGAAGCTATGGTGAGTGTGTCAAATGCAAATTTAAACAGGTACAGGGGGAATCTGGCAGTTCCCATCTAAAAACTTTATGAGCAATTAAGTTCCCTTAAAATGTCATACATTCATTTCTCAATCACACATCTTCAATTTGTTTTGTGTGTTTCATTGCTCAATTCAGACTGGCTGGGTTTTTTAAGGTGCAGAAGCATCTTTCAAATCTACATGGCTAACTGTATAAACAAATTCCATATACTAGTTTGACATGCTTCACATTTATATTGTTAAACCACCAAGACTAATCTTAAAGCAACAGGACTAGATGACACTGCATAACTCTCAAGGAGATAGAAATACTTCAATTCTCCCCAAAGGGCAGTTTCATATGTCACAAAACTGCAGCAGATTTAACACTACAGAACAGCAAACAGTGAATAAGATGGTGACTCTGTGGCAGTGGTATGTTTAAGCCCATGTTGAACTTCCCCACCAGACATCCACCATATTTCCCCACGACTGCAATCCCATCATCCCCATTCCCTTATCAGGTCAATCTGGGATCAATTTTGTGAGTGAGAAAGTTACCCTAAGAAAATAATGGGGTGATGATTCCCCCCTTAAATTACTAGATTTTCAAAATTAAAACCGAAAACAACACATTTGAAAGAAGTTGCTGCACCTGCAAAGACACTCTTTAAGCTTACTATGAAATACAAAAAGTGCACTCTTCTATATCTACATATAAAACATATTAGAAATAAAACATGTGTAAAATTGTTTGCTGTGCAAACTATAAAAAGTCTGTCAGTCCTTTAATTTTCCTAAATATTTAAGGTCACATTCTCTTGCTTCCTACTGCAGAGAATCACTGTTATCCAAGACCAGCCCACTGATGTTTGTAGTTGAGAGGTCTGCTCCATCGTCTTCAGTGCTGTCCACAGATTCATCCTCACTCTGCCCTGCCATCATGACGTGTTGAACAGCCAAAGTAGTACCATCAGATGAAAGAGATTGCAAACTGTCTACATTCATGTTGACTGGAGCTGTAATTGTTACAACTGCTCCTGGAAATAGAGAAGAATGCAATTTCAATTGGAACAATACAGCTCCTCCCCACACCAGTCTACTGTTCTTGCTTTTAAAAGATCTACATATGTAATCTAATGTTTAATTAATTAAGCAAAACATTCTAGACTGCAAGCCCAGGGGTATAAAAACTAAAAGTGAACTAAAGCTGCATATGCCTCTTGAACTATTTGCTTCTTTACAGGATAATTAAAAATAGAGAGAGACGTCAGTAGGTGCATTCTGTTTTTTTTTTTTCTATTTTTGCCTAAACAATAATTATGAATTTTGTAAATCTTGGAACACTATTGCAACGTGATTTCCTTTAAAAAGAAAATGAAGGTTCCAATGAAAAGAATTCCACTTACCTGAACGTCTCACTGAGCAAAGTGAAACTTCAGAATGAACTCCTATGATCATGTTGCAAATATGCACCAGATATAGGGACGTTTAGACCCACCAAACCTCTTGTAAGCATGTTCATGTATGGTATGGATTGGGAGCAGGACCATTTAGCATATCCAATCCTCCCTTACATTTGTATAAAATCCATGAGGAAATGTTGTTATGCTGTTGATAAATTTCAACAGGCTTTGGGGAAGGGTTGTATAATTCTTTCCAATACAGTTTGACTGATTCAAGATGTGCCTTGAATCAGCAAAGAAAGCACTGTCTAAATGTCCAGAAGACATCAATTATAAATCTGCTCACCATCTGACATGGTCAGTTCATTTGATTGGTGCTGAGCTACTCCTGATGCAATGGAGTCTGGCCAGAACCTTTGAACTGGTCGGTTTTGAGCTGTTTTCTTCTTTGTTTTTGGAGTTTCAGAACAGCTGGAATCCAACATTGGCTGGAGAATTCGCCTTCTAGCATTGATAAACCTAAATGTGGCCAAAATTAAATTTTATTAACATAATCACAAATTAGATAAAGGAAAATATTACCTCACCTTAACAACGGGGGCAGAGCCAACAGTGAGATTCCTTGACTCTTTAAAACTGCTTTTTTTTTGTAATCAGTTTTCAGCAGGCTTTTCCTTCTCTTTCTGTTCCTTCAGCTACATAACTACAGGACTACAATTTAACCTTTTCTTGCCAAAGCAATCTATAAATCACTTCAGTATGTGATCCTGGCCTGCGTCCTAAACATGTCTCCAAATTCTTTCCACTCAGAACTCTTCTAATCCTCCCAGTCCCCCATTCCATCCTTTTTATACTGATGAATAAAAATTACAATTAAGGAAGACCTATGTATATCCACTTAGCTGGAAGTAAGACCCACTGAACTCTATAAGACTTAATTCTGAATAGATTGTGTAGCAAGTCAATCAAAATCTTGAGACGAACTCAGAAGACTAGCTTGATTACAATTCATATATCTTTTCATATATCTTAGCACACATATTCACTCTTTCTCTCTCTTTTCTTCCTCCTAAAATTCATTTTCAGAATTAAATGCAAAATTGGCCTAGTTTACTTCTGAAAATGTCAGTGGCTTGTTCTTCAAGGCAGAAACTGCTTGTGTTTGAAAGCATGCACAGTCAATGTATACCTAACCATTGTAATATTTCTTGATTCCCTATGCTTTGGAAACAGTGAATTGAATAGACTGTATGGATTATGTGCTTGGCAGTCATAAGTTTTGCTTGATTCCCTGTTTTGTAGTCAGAAGATTTTGTCAAGTGACCGGCATGTACAGGTGTGACTGCACAACAAAGAAAATGTGAGGTCATACTGGAGAATATGGATCTCTTCTTATTAATTGGCCACATAGGGAAAGAGAAGGAAAAGCCTTGTTTGCACCTTATTTACAGTGCTCTTTATAACTCTGCAGGTGACTCCTTTACAAAGGAACAATCTAATAAGTTGTAAGTAAGGGTAAACAAGGCTCTCCTTCCTACATTTCCTCATCCTGTTATCGTAAAAAAAAGGGAGGAAGGAGCCCATGAAGAGCAGAGAAGCTGTTAAAAAAGAGAGGGACCTGCCTGCAGAGAGAGGCTTTGCTGGAGAGTGTGTGTACTGGCCTGGTAGCTCTTCTGCTTTGTATGCTTCTGTGCATGGCTCGTCCTCCTTCATGAGGCAAGAGGCAAGGGAGAAGATGCTTGAAGTAGCAAAGCACTGCTTTATGTGTGTGCGCACAGGGCTCGTCCTCTCTTTCCTGAATTGGTTCCATTGGCCAGATGTCTGAACTGATGCAAATAGATCCATTTTTTAAAAAAGTAGAAGACTTAGCAGTGAAGGAAGAAAAGCACATGTTTGGTGTGTGTGTGTGTGTGTGTGTGTGCGTGCGTGCGCGCGCGCATGTGTGACTCCAGGCTGATCTGCATTTTCTCTTGCATCATGTGGTCAGTGGAAAAAAGTGCAAATCAGCCTGCCCAAAATCCACAGCATTTCCCACATGTTTATCAATGTGCTTACCCCCTAAATCCAGAGAAAAACCTCAATAAAGCTGCATGAGAATTTTTTTGTCAGCATAAGTTTAATTAAGAACCCTTCAGTTTCCACCCTCTTCTCAGCTGTTTCCCCAACATTTCAGCTGTGGATTGTAGAGGAGCCAGACTTTTATTATTTATGAGCTTAAGTGTTAGAAGCCTATCCATCTCCCAAGGGCTGTTACCTATTACATTAAATATAAGAAAAAGACCAAAAGAAAAAAAGAAAATACATTGGTCAATTAGCCATCTTGCCCAAATCCCCTTCTACTTCAGCCATAGTCCCACAACAGCACAGCCCTGTAGCAGCCAGCCATTCAGAAAAATGGCCCTTAGCCCCACCAAAGTTGTGTATCCTTAATATATACTGTAGCAAGGCTTTACTGGCACTAAGAACTGCAGTGGGAAATGACTGTAACAGCAATGACATCTGATCATACTTGCTAAGGTGCCACACTATTCCAAGCATAACAAATCTCACCTGATTTTGGAAGTTAAGCAGAGGTCAGCTGGTTGGCACTTGGCTGTAAAATCACTTGTTAATAAAAAAAGATCTCAACGTAAGGCTTTAAAAAAGGTCTGTCTGAAACTCTGGAGAGCTGCTGCTAGTTAAGAGTCCTTTGTGACTGAGTGACATGGATCCATCATCTTCAACTCACTACAAGGCAGCTCCCTATCTTCCTATCCTTGGCTTCCAAAATCAGATGACGTTGGGTATGCTCAGGATGGTGTGACAGCTTAGCAAGCACGATTAGATATAGTGGCTGTTGCAAAGCTTTCCAGCTTTGCACTGAAGACCACAGCAAACTCATGCAATCTAATATTTTCTGCTTATCTGTATATACCGTACTTTTTAAAAATGTAGATCAATATTGCACTATTCAAATAAAAGAGTACTGTATATCAATTTTATCTTACCAATTGTTAACTTGGAGTAAAGTAAGATTTGTTTGTGCTGCTATCTGTTTTTTCTCATCCTCTGTTGGATATGGATGCTACAGACAGCAAGGAAAAAAAATAAAAAACTTTTAAGTTTTTTTAATTTTTACATAAATTACACCAATAAACATAATTCAAGTAGCTACAACTGTATTAAAATACAATTTAGCATACAGTTTATCTCCCACTAATAATTCAATCAATTTCTACCTAGCTAAACTGATTTTTCTCACAGATAATCTCAGAATACTTTCTGTGGCTTGAAAGTCCCCTTGTCTGTACAGAATAAAAAACAATATTAGTTTTGTGATATTAATCTAATGATGACTGAAAGATAATTACTGATAAAGTTGTTTTGCCCCTATGCAATTGTATTCTCATTGATATGAAAAGCCATCTCATTTTCATCAATAGTGCTAATCTAATTTAAATAAACAAGCACAGTATCTGGAGTCCTTTGGGTGGTGGGTGGTGTGTGTGTATTAAAGTATTGGGGGACTGTCCTCTTTTGGTTCTGTTGGATCCTACTATTCTGCCAGCAAAACTCAACATTGGCTATAGCCAAGAATTTCCACATCTTTACTTTCTTATGTCTTTCCAGCATAATAGCCAGCAGATGAGAATCTTACTATAAAGATATCTAAGTGGTGAGCAGTATCCTGTTGTACAGCTCCATCTGCATAATAGGAGTGGTGTCACTAGCCTAGGCAGTGTGTTTCTTTTTCAATTTTGGGGTGTGTGTGACTTCACAGCATGGCTCATGAGTCATAAGCACCTCAAAACCAAACAAAAGAAATCTGTAATTAGTGGTAATTTGCTGCAGTCAACAAGATCAAGATCAATCCTGTTGACTGAAGGAACACTGGATTTCCTGCATTAGCATGCAGTTGTATTAGATGATCCTTCAGGTCCCTTCCAAATCTGTGATCTATTTATTTATTAATCTGTATTTATTTAATCAATTTTGTACACCTCACCCTCTGTAACACAGTACTTTTAGACAGATATTTCTTGTGCTGAGACTCATAGTAGTAGTAGCATGTCTATGACATGTCATTTCCCCCCCTACAACCTACATTTGAGCTTATGGGTGGGTTTGAACATGTTTATGAATAATGTAATGAGAAAGGCCAGAATACTCATAAATATGTTTGAATTCACTTATGGGTTCAAATGTAGGTTGCAGAGAAAATGTGAAATGTCATAGAAATCCTCACCCCACTCATAAGTGTTTCAGTCTCCTAACAATTTGATGTACTGGTACAAGGTATTTTTTTTATCTCTCTCCTATAATGCAATGTAATGAGTCTAGCTTTATCACATCTTGCAGAGATTCAGGCAGATGTGAGAATATGTCTTTTTCTCAGTTGAACATGTAAATAGAGACATACTTCATTTCCACAATATAGTTAAAGTTAAAAATCTACCGTATTTGCCGGCATACAAGATGACTTTTTGGCCCTGAAAAACATGCCTCCAAGTTGGGGGGGTCGTCTTGTACGCCAGGTGCATGTCTAGCAAACCCTCCCTCTCTCCCAACGAAGTCATTTACCTGGTAGTAAGACCCTGTAGAGCCCCGCTCCTAGGCTGTGAACAGCCTGACTCTAGCGCCGAACAGCTGACTGTCGGAACAGCAGAGAGGCGGCAGCCATTCTGTGATGCGACCGCATGGCTGCTGCCTCTCCAAAATGGCTGCCGCCTCTCCAAAATGGCTGCTGCCTCCGAAAAGGAACCAAAAGGGGCAAAAGGAACTCTCCCCATGTTTCAGCCAAAGCAGAATCACGCATGCGGAAGAGGGGGTAGTCTTATACAGCAAGTATATAACAAACTTTACATTCTGAGTGGGAATGTTGGGGGGCCGTCTTATACTCCCAGTCACCTTATACACCGGCAAATACGGTACTTATCACTAGCTTCATTGGTGTTTAAGTGTTTCGTGACCTTTAACTTCTTATAGAACAACAACACTGGGGAACCCACTTGTTTTGGGGATCATTGCTCTGAGCTGCCATGACCACTGTATACATGATCCACTTGAAATGTGTGGAACGAAATGTAAACTAATCTGCACAAAAATCCTGCTTCTGCATATGGATTAATTGTGCTTTATTACAGTGAATGACTTTTACACACCACACTCCCAGGAAGTGTTTGCTTGATAAAGGCTTAAATATAGCCCTCAAAAGGCTACTGATAAGGGAGCACATGATTTTAAAAAAATCCTTGGCACAAGAAAATATAACCCAAAATACTGCTGGCCCTTAGGAAGATCACAAGGCTACATAACAGATAGCTATTGATTTTGGACTGATCCAACTATTTTAAAAATGTATTTCTGGATAAGCATTTTCTTTTTTCATGTTTCAAATAAAAACATGAAAACATTTTTTTTCAGAGAAGAAATAATTCCCAATCATTGTAATCACACCTTACCCCTATGTGCTGGAAAAGCCAAGACCTCATCACATTGGTGGCATGCTTTGGAAGAACTCCTCTTTTATTTTTTGATGAGCCATCATCTTGATGCAAGATGCTTAAATCCTGATTTAACTGTAACTGGAGCTGCACCCCAATTGACAAAGAGCACACAATTAGTAAATGTCATTCCAGTTTCAACCATAAGTATCAGCCCAGGTTTCCCAACATTTAACAAAAAATAATTTTGCACATCTATGCAACTGCAAGGCAACACACAAGCTGTATATTATAAATAGCAATCCCATTCAAAATAGGCCTACCCAGTTAATCTTTCAGACTGTAAGTAGAGCATGACATGTTTAAATGTTAAAAAAAAATCTTCTCCATGGAATTCTCTCCACAGGGGAGCCTTCATACCATTCCCTAAACCACTAACTGAAATGTTCATGTAGATTTGGTAGCGACACAGAGCCTTCACCTTCTCCATAACCCTGAGCTGTGTTCAGGACAGCAAGGAGAGGAATCCTTACCCTCACATAGTCCCTTTTGATAGTGGTCATATGGAGTAACAGGGGATGGTGATTCGCCCCCCCCCCTGCAGTGTTGTCCTGAAGTTCAGCACTTTGGTTTGCATCCACGGGAATGAATAATAGCCATTCACTTGTATGGTAAAGAGGAAAGACATGAGGCTAAGATGCCCCTTGTCACTGGTGATTGCAGGGTGTGGAATATGCAACATATATGGATGGGCCCTTTCAACAGTGTCCTGGAAAGCAGCACATTTGGTTTGCTCAACAAAAATTCATGGGAGCCACTGAGAACCGAAAATACCTAGGAATGTCCAGCATTCTGATTCTCAGTCATTCTAAGAAGGGCAGGATATTAAAAAAATGTATATCCTGCCCATACAAATAGACATTATTTTACAAAGAAAAAGAAGCAATTTGTCCACCATTAAGATGTAATGGGTGTATCTGGAGGGAAAGCTTGTAAGCCACAGGTACTCTCAGGGGTACGGTGCTGTGCACATGAGAAGCCTTATCAAAGTAACAAGACCAGCCAGTATCAGAAACAGAAAGAGGACGCTGCTTCCATTAAAATGGTGACCTACGATAGATAGATAGATAGATAGATAGATAGATAGATAGATAGATAGATAGATAGATAGATAGATAGATAGATAGATAGATAGATAGATAGATAGATAGATAGATAGATAGATAGATAGATAGATAGATGATAGACAGAGAGAGAGAGAGAGAGAGAGAGAGAGAGATTGTGGGTAGAAGTGAAGTGCCATTATTTACTTTTCCAAGTGAATCCCTAGTGATCTTTATATCTGGGCCAACAGTTTTAATTTTGCCTATCTCATCTGTATCCCTGACTATAGCCTACTGCAGATTAAAGGTTCTGTATCTTGGTCACTGTGTGATGAAAATATCACAAATTAATAAATAGATTGAGGACACGGCTTTCTTACTGGTTTTCTTCCTGATTTCCCAGTACCTTCTCCACACTGCTGGCTTGAAATTACCCTTGAGGGTTAGACAAATGTCTGGAATGAAGGCAGGTGAAAAGAAATTGGGCAAGACTGGATGGTGACATCTTGTACGATTTTTCTGTGTGCTTCCTTCTCCCTTCCCCAGCAGCTTCTCACATACACATCATCATTTTTGGAGTGTCTTCAAGGAGTAACACTGGAGCAGGGAACTATCCTGGGAAAAAGTTGGTGGGGAAGCCCCATTCCATACTTCTTTACATTCACAGATTACTATATGGAGCACAGAACAAACCTGTGAATTCTGGATCCTGATGGTTCCAGGGGACAATGCCTGTGTCACTACTTGACCTTGAGGTGTGACCACCGTCACTGGCTGATATACCGCCCCACCTTAAAAGAACATAACTATTTTACCATAGAACAGTAACAAAAAAAGGTCAAAGGCAGTGTGGCAACATCCATTTTTATGTAACTACTACTTAAACAAAATGTTTTAAATTATTTTTATTGAACAGTTAGAACTTCTATCTCAAAAATTAAAAGGCATAAAAATAAAAAGTTCAACATTATGTCATCACTGTTTCTGAGAAATAAAAATGAAACTCGGAATATTTTACGGTATTTATTTACGTATTCAATGTAGCATCACAAAGATTATATAATTTGCTTTATTATTTTTTTTAAAGAAAGTTTGCACAACTGTATTTGATTTGCCTTATTTTCACTAGCTCACATAATTCTACATAACATATGAAGACTGTAAGGAACAACATTCTTTCTTAAAATGAATACTTTTGCCTTAAGGCAAAACATGTTTTCATAAGAGCATCTGCCTATATTTCAATTCTCTGGATTATGGTCAAGACATTGAAAATTTCAGTAGTAGATGGCATATTTTATTTTTTCTAGAATTAGACTATAGACATCATCTAACTAGAATCACATAGATAAGTTACACACCTGGTTACACAACATGCAGAACTAGCTAAAATATAATTTATTTTAAAAACAATCTGAAAGAATAATGTCTCTGTCAAAAAAAAATCTAAAATAATGTCTTCATAAAAAATAATCTAAAATAATAATGTCCATCAAAAGTTGCCATCTCTCCATATCTGAAGAAGAGGCAAGAAATCAAGGCCTGCCCCAGTATTCTGGCTGGGACAAACTGCCATTGAGTATCTATTTCCTCCTTGAAACGTCTGTCCAAATGACCATTGGACATTATCATTATATCAACTCTGCAATAATATGTAACAATCTGCATCTGTGTTCACTCATGTTTCTATCCACCTTTACCACTTTTCATCTTGTATATTTGCTTGTATGCTACTTTTTTAAAAATTGTAAACCACCTTAGCTGTCTTGGCAGAAGGACAATACATAAATGTAGTAAAGCAATCAAATAAATTAATCTCTAGAATTCCTATTCTTAGGCACTTATCAGCCACAAAACATAACTATGATGAAATGCAATGTCTGTGATTTTATACAGTGCATCTTACCTGCAACAGTTGCCATAGTTACATTTCCCTGCTGCAATGCTGATGCAGGTACCACAATGCCCTGGGGACTTAATGTACCTGTGATGGCACTTTGAATTGGCTAAAAACAGTAACAACAAAAAGAATTACAGCTGCATAACGCAAGATAATCCTGTCATTTTAGTTGTAATACTTTTAATAAGAGAACAGAGAGGTTTTGAAAAGTAAATCCCACAGCAATGATGATAATGAAGATGGAGGTGGCATGGAGGTCATCAATACTAACCACTTTGATTTTTAAAAAAACTAGTAATGACTCTCTTATCAGAAGGAAACTCAATGAAAAGGAGTAAATAACTTAATACATTTTAGTTGCATAATACATTGTATTTATTTGTCGTGTCCCAAATGCTGACTTTCTTCCTCATGCTACTTCAACAGAGCACATAACAGATTTGTGAAAGGATCATAATGAACCCAAACAACAGTGTCTATGCTACTTAATGTTGGACTAGCCCCATTTTCTTAGAATCAAAGGACTTAACATTAGTAATCCGTATGGACGGATTAGTTGTTTAGGAAAGGTTAACCTAGGATACTTTTTTAGACCTCTTTATGTTTTTATTTTGAAAAAATGGGATACGTTTAAGGTTGAACAACTATACATAGTACATACCTGGGAGTTAGTCCCATAAAACCTACTTGAGAGTAGACATGTATAGGGAAATCATAAGGAAACCACTAATATTTTCATAAGGCACATACAGTAACGATGTACAGGTGAAATATTAGAAAGTATGAAGTTAATATAATGAATATTCATGATTAAGCACAGTCTAGATTTCAAAAGTATTCCTAATTTAAAGTTTAAAGATGATTTTATGCCTCTAACAAACGTTCAATTTAAGATGTTTATTTGAATTATTGAAGCTTTATCTGAACACTTAAGATAATCAAACATTGGTTTACAGTTAGTTCACTGATGCAGAGCTTGCATGAAGAGTGCAACAAAATACAGTGAACAAATTTTCTGAGATTTCTGAAAACATATGCTTGTATCTTCATACTATTCATGATTAAATTAATTTATGGTATGGAACTGGTGGGCACATGCTGTCTAATTGACTTTTATGAGAGCTCCCACAGGAGTCAAAGTGGTGTATGTAACCATAATCTGAAGTTCTGAAAGAATGTGCTCTGAAACTACAGCCATATTGATACCATTATTAGCTTTGTTCAAGGAGAATACAATGAAAAGAACTGGAAAAAAATCAACCAACGCCTGATTCTCTAGTTTAATACTATTAATGCAACAGCCAAGCAGGACACATTTTCCAAGTACTACAGACAAAATGAGAGAAGGGCCAACAGCTTATTGAAAGAGCACATATTCTTCATACAGATCAAACTTTTATTAGCAGCATCTCTCATTAAAGCATCTGAAGTAGCAATGCCTGGGACTGTCAACAGTCACTGCCTAGCAGAGTAGAAAAACAGAATTAGACCCAGTTCTTAATCCCTCTTCTTAATAAACTGGCATTCCACGAAGGAGCAATCAATGCATAGCTCACTGCTCACCATGTGGATCTCTCAACTGGGTCCTTATATCCAAGCTACTGGATGCTAAGCACCCCATGCCTTGAGGATGTGTTACACATCATTTGCAGAATCTATTTCCACATACAGGGGTCAGTATCTACAATGGATGGGGCCATTATCTACAATGAGATGAACAAGGACACCCCCAAATTAGGCTAAGGAAATTGTGTCAAAGTGCAATGATAATTGTGTCAAATTTGGTCTACTGCTCACATTTTCAGGTGACTCTTTCCATGAAGACAGCTGCTCCAGCAAATCCAAGCTATCTTTATCATGTTTAAAGTTGCTGGACTGCAGACAAAGAGTTGACAAATTACGGTCATTCTTCAAGAATTACATTTCCATGTGCCTGACTAGTAAGAAACTATCCAAGGGAGACCTTTAATTATATCACAAAGCTTTAAAATCTGCTAGTTTGCCTATTACAGATTATCTATTTGTAAACTGCATGGTTTATAAATTTAACCAAATTATTAGCATAGTGGCATATACAGTTACACATATATTTTCATTTATTCTTGTCCTTATCTATCCTAAACCTTTGTGACAGGATAGGTTATGAAACAAATAATGAAACTATATTTCAATTAAAGTGAAAAATACCTGGGGTTGTATAGGTGAATAAGGGCTTCCAGATTCTCCGCTTAGCAGAGTTTCACTGTTCATTTTTGTTTTCAGACATGCAATATAGCGACTACAGAAATCCTTACAGAGCTCATTGACTTTTTCTAGCTCAAGCAGATGAATTCTTAGAACCTGAATTGCCTTAACCATCTGGAAGAAAGAAAGAGAAGAGATTCTCACACAAGGGGGAAAAAACCCCAATGGGAACAAATATTTGCACAAGTCATTTACAGAATGTTAATTATGCATAGATAAATAATTGCATTGCCATAAGAATTCAGATAAAGTATACCTCTTAGTAGCTGGTGCACAACAACATATACAGAGAGTACTATTGCCTCCTCACCATATTGGTGGGCTTCTAATAGGTATGTGGTTGACCATTGTCAGAAGATAATACTAGACTATGTACTATCTGTCATCAAATCAGAATTGATTTATAGCCACCCTAATAGGGCTTTCAAAGTAAGCGAGATATTTTGAGATATTTTTACCAGTTCTAGCTACCTCTGTTGAGTTGTCATGGCTGACTGGGGATTCAAACTCAGGTTTTCTGTTCTCTAAGCCATCGCCTTATCCACTACACCTCACTGGGATCAATGCTAGACTAGGCATACCTTTTTTGTTAATGTTCAAGATAGCTCTTTTGTTTTTAGTGGTCCACTTCTGAAAAACCTCAGTAACTTCTTGACTGTTTTAAAAGACACGTTGGAATAAATGATGAGAATCAGAGCTGCTGATGTACTAGCTGGGTACTGGACAACATGCCTAGTGGCTGAAACAATCTCCAGTTTTTTGAGCAAAAAGGAGGTCCTGAAGACCTTATTCAGTTCAAGCTAAAATAATGCATATTGATGTCAGATTTAAAATTTAGTGATGAGTGTAAATTTTATCAATATTTTCAGCTGAAATTTCACAATTTAGATTTTCCATCTCGATTATTTCTTCTTAAGCAGAACAATATAATAAACACTTCAGACAAGCTGACATCTAATTCATCACTTCCCAACTTAAAACATTTTTACTTACTAAATTATCAGTTTCTGGATCTTCACAAAAAAATGGTTTTCCTTCCTTCTCCTGTTTTCTAACAAAGTTTTCAATATCTACATCAAAACTTGCAGATGTTGTGCCTTCTGAACCCTGCGTAGATTGTTCACATTTTTCAAATAACAGTGCTAATAAGGGGAACAGTGGATGTCTAGGAAAAAAAGCAGATAAGATGAATAAAATGAAAAACTGTGAGAACTTCTACATGCAAATCAATGCACAAAAACTTGTTGTGTAACTTTGCACCAGCCTAACCCAGATCTGGCAGAGGGTTGAGCCTTTAATATAGTGGTGCCTCGCTTAACGAGCGCACCGTTTAACGACGAATCCGCATAGCGATGCGGATTTTGTGATCATTTTTACGATCGCATTGCGATGTTTAGATAGGCTAAACATCCCATTGCGATGATCAATAAGCGTTTCGCTTACCGATCTTCGCATTGCGATGTTAGGGAAACAGCTGAATGGCGGTTCCAAAATGGCCACCGCATCAAGAAAATGGCCGCCCGCAGCATTTTCGCACCCTGCCCTCGCTTACCGAGGCGGCGAAAATGGTGGCCAGATGGGGAATCTTCGCTTACCAGTGAGTTTTGCCCCCACAGGAACGCATTAAACGGAGTTTAATGCATTCCTATGGGGTTTTACGTTCCGTTTAGCGATGTTTCCGGATAGCGACGTTAATACTGGAACGGATTAACATCGCTATGTGGGGCACCACTGTAATTAAAAAGTCTCAGCCAGGTTTGGGACTACTGCTGGTAATCTGATGGTGATTTTAAAAATATATATATATTAAAGGCTCCCACCCCTTGGCTGTCCCAAGGCTCGCAGAAGCTTCCCAGGGCAAATTAAAGCCTTAGGGAGGGCTCAGAATCTTGAATGTAGGGAGAAGAAGCTTTTCATGCATATAAATCAAATGTTTCCGGTGCCTGACCTGGACTGCACTGGTGCAAAATTATGTCAACACGATTTTACCCAATAAATGAATTAAGAAGAGAATTAAGAAAGAGAACACTAGGAAGACTAAATACTATAAACTTTCTTTTATTTCAGTTCTGTTTAGTGTGCTATAAACACAACTAAGCTAAAACACTGATAGGTTAATCTGAGTATTAAGGTCACCCCACTTTGACAAAATGAACTGATAGTATGAACTGTATGATCTCAAGTGTGGTTTTATTAACATTTAATGACAGTGGCTAAAACAATTATAGTTTCAAAAACAATATTCATTCATTCATTCATTCATTCATTCATTCATTCATTCATTCATTCATTCATTCAGTATGCTGCCCACACTACCCAAAGGTCTCTGGGTGGCTTACCATAATTAAAATACAGTAAAAAATAAAATAAAACAATTAAAATGCAATTAAAATATATACTCTAAAAATTGCAATCAGGACCCACAGTTAAGCCTTCTGGAAAAGGAAGGTTTTGACCTGGCACCGAAATGTCATCAGCATCAGTGCTAGACGAATCTCAGTTGGGAGGGCATTCCATAGTCTGGGGGCAGCTGCCGAAAGGGCCCTTTGTGTACAAGCCCTCCCTCTTACCTCCGTGAGGGATGGCTCTTTCAAAAGGGCCCCTGGCTAGATCTTAACTGCCGGGTAGGTTCATATGGAAGGAGGCGATCCTTCAGGTATCCAGGGCCCAAGCCGTTTAGGGCTTTATATGTCAAAACAAGCACGCTGTCCTCTGAAGATGCTGGCCACAGAGACTGGCGAAACATCAGGAAGAACAACCTTCAGAACAC